CAGGTACAGTTCCTGCTGTGTGCTCTCTCTGCATGCACATCGACAACATCATGCCAGATCGGTCTGGAATCACTGGAGAGTTCAAGCGCCAAACATACAGACTTTCAAAGCAACATGAAGAATGTTAATAGCTTCAGCCATTGAATGTATCTCATCTTTAAATAATATAATAAAAAGCTAAGAACTTACTGGGATCATAGGGATGTTGTATAGAACTCAATGTAGCCATCATGCTGGTCCATATTGTGCACCAGTTGGGGGCATCACTAGAGGTTTTGGGCCCCATAAAAGTATATCATACTGGGCCCGCAACCAGACACTCATGGGACCCTCGGAATCATCTTAACATCCCCCCATTTACAGCACCCCTGGTCCCAGTAGTCACTCCACTCAGAATTCCAGCGGGACACAACATTATTTACAAAATATAATTAATACATTTATCTAGCAGATTTGTCAGTGATAATGAATGAATGAAAAGTAAGGTGGTCTGTAGTTTCGTTTGGAGGAGTGAGCACCTCAGATTTATATCCTGTAAAAAAAAAAAACAAGCACTGTATTAATTTCCATTTCCACTCATTTGTACGCTCAAAAACATACTTAGTGGAACTCCCAAAAGACTAATCATTGGGTAAAATTAATCATCAATTGGTAAATTGTTGGTAAATTCAATCTGCCAGAAATTGCTGATGCAGGACACTGTGGGTGTTTTCTTACTATCACAGAAGTACCACGCGATACATAAGATTGCGTGACAGAGTGTGCAGCCCTTGCTTGTCTAACATGTGTTGACAGAGTTCACTGTCAGGGCCTTCTTTATTTAAGCATGTACCAGTAAACCTGGGGGATGAGTTGCAGGCATGGAATGAGCTATAGCGTTTGGGATATTCATCCCGGCTGCAGCAGTACTCCCCTCCGGCCTGTGCAAGCGCAGCCTCCCGCTGTGATTGCGGCTTCCTGAGGCGGATGGTTGAGATCAGAGGCGATGTGCCAATCGGCACATGCCTACCCAATATTCCGTAAAAATGTAGCATATAAAATTATTCAGTCAATCTATAATGTGACTACATTGACTGTGAATAACACGTCGTTAAACTTGCAGTGAAACCTGGCCAAAGAGTTAACTTCCTCCATCAGATCACATCTCTAAATCCTCTCCCCTATCCCTCTACACATCATCAATGATTGTGACATTCACTACTCACTTCTTAGCAGCAGTAATTAAGCTGTTTATAATAGCTAGCCAAGTAATTGTGCTACTTTCTGCTGTTGTCCCACATACATGTGCTACATTAGCTTAAAACTGTCAAAATATAACATGCACATTTCTGCCTGGGTAGCTATGTAATCAATGTGTGAGCACAAACATACTGTGAAGCTGCGTTTTGAACTTATGTTAATGTTAGTTAGCTAACCAGTGATGGTTTGGCGGCTCATCCTGAGTTGTTCTTTGCCTTGCGACTGTAGCCCCCAGGATACCCTCCAGAGCTCCTGCGATCCTGAATGGGACAAGTGGTTTCAGAAAATGGATGGATGGATAAATAGTTAGTTAACATTAGCCATCAACGTAGACGGCAGATCAGCTAAGTTTGTAGTTTAGCCCGTACAAATTATACTGTCTCAGTATTTGCTAGCTAGCCACAAACACAACAGCCTCTTCCATCTCCCTGTCATGTATTTAGAACATTAACTAACTAGTCATCTAACTAAATGTAACACTGCTTACTTCATCTAACTTTTGCATATAATAGTTACATAAAGTTTCAAAAACATTAATATCTGTGTGAGAATTGCAGTGCTGGCAGTACCCATCAGGCAGTGCGCCAGGCTGGGACTGGTGCCAGCCTTGTAAATAACATAAATAGTTCAGTGTGTTTGTCATGCATTGTACTGTTAGCGTGCGTATTGTGATGTTGTGTATAGTGTTCCATGTTATGTGTTGTAAATAGTGGTGCGTGTGTGGGCCCACCGTGTGTTGTTGGAGTAGTTGGGAAGGCCAGCCCAGTGGGCATTGGGGGTTGGGAGCAGTGGTGGTTATTGCTCTTGCTCGGTCCACTTAAGAACTGTTAATAAAGAGCGCTGCTGGTTAATTGAAGCTGTTTCGCCTGCATCCTGCATCTGCATTGCCTGGGTCTGCTGGTTATTACAGCATTTTTTTCGACTCATGTGTGGTTTTGAAAAGGTGCATACACACAAATGTGGTTTGCAGGATGCCCCTGGCTGGGATTACTGTGGGCACTGGCTCTGTGAATCTAAGGAGAAGGACAGAGGGCCCATGGGCCGAGCATCTGCTGCCTTTGTGTTTGCATTCACAAAAGGTGATATTTCATTTTTTCTTTTATTTTTTGTTTGTTTTATGCTTTTAAAAACAGCAATTTCCATCCTTCAATTTCCTTCTATTTTCCACTGATGGTAATATCACATCAGTAGGGTAGAGTATTAAACCAAAACCGGAAAATACATCCAACAGCTTAAGTACCTTACATTTCTACTGGCACCCAGACTGTCTTTTAAGCCATGTGGGTGAAATTTCTTTGTTGTTTTCAGTCACTTTTACGGGCACCTTGCCAAATCAATCCTGAGAGCTTCCAGTCAGTGCAGGGTCATTGTCCATCACCAGCCAACCAGCAAAGTGCTCCGGGTTTAAATTCACATGAGAGTTTAAGCTGAATACAAGTTTTCCTTGTTGTGGAGCTTAGCACACCAGCTGTGAGTGAAATGGGCTGCATTTAATCGATATGAGATCTAGGTGGGACACATGTACCCAGCAGCGGTATTTACTACCACTATGTGCTTGCATAGCCCCCCGCCTCCCCCACTCAAGGTTGGGGCCCCTTACTGGTTGTAAACGGTCACTACTGGAAGGATGGGAAACCCTGAAGTGACTTTTAGAGCGTGGACCCAGAAAAGCCACAGCTTACTGGTACATAACGGGAGCAGATGGAAAGTAACACACAGTGCATGTTTTCCCATGTTACTATTGGACTGTCTATCCATTTTCTATAGTTTACAGTCACAGTGAATCTAGAGTCTGTCCCAGGAAGGTCACAAGGGAGGGGGCGGGGCACAGACAGCATCATTTGGAGACAAACATTGCATATTTTGGACTGCATTCAGGTCTATAAGATTCTAACGGGTCTGGATGCTGTTCAGCCAAATGACTATTTCAATATTAGTCTAAATACTAGAACTCGTGGCCATAAGTGGAAATTAGCGGGAGAACATTTTAAAACAAATTTGAGGAAGCACTTCTTTACACAGAGTGTAGTTAGAGTATGGAATAGTCTTCCTGCTAGTGTAGCGGAAGCTAAAACCCTGGGTTCCTTTAAATCAGAGCTAGATAAGATTTTAACAACTCTGAGCTATTACTTAAGTTCTCCCCAAACGAGCTTGATGGGCCGAATGGCCTCCTCTCGTTTGTAAATTTCTTGTGTTCTTATGTTCTTATGAGGAAACCCGTAAACCCAGAAGAAACCAGTGTGAAAATTCGAAAAGTGTGAAAATGGGGACAACTGTGACTATCCTGGATGACAATCAAGATCCAGGCCTTCAATGACTTCTTAGGCGCGGCCATCATTGCTGTGTCTGTCTGCAGAGAGAATGTCAACCATGTCCAGAGGTTCACTTACCTCGGCAGTGACATTCAAGTCTGTAGTGACTCTTCTAAGAAGTCTGTAGACGGATTGTAGGGGTCATGAGGTCGCTGGAAAGGGGTTTGTGGCAATCTTTGTAAGTCTTTAGACTCCTGGTGCTTCCTGTCTTGCTGTATGGCTGTGAGATATGGATAATATCCAGTGAGCTGAGACAAAGACTGGACTCCTTTGGTACTGTGTCTCTTTGGAGAATCCTTGAGTATCGCTGGTTTGCCTTTGTGTTCAACAAGTGGTTGCTCAGGGAGTCCTGAATGAGGCACATTACCTGCATTGTGAGGGAGCGTCAGTTACGGCACTACAGCCATGAGGCGCGTTTCCCTGAGGGTGAACCGGCTCGCAGGATCCTAATGGCTGAGGACCCGAGCAGCTGGACCAGGCCAAGGGGACGCCCACGTAAGACCTACCTGCAGCAGATAGACAGGCATTTCCGGAGGGTGGGACTGGACCACATGTCGGCCTGGGGGAAGGGGGGGGGGGGCAGCCAGGATCTCAAGGTATTTCGTTATGTGGTGGGCATGGCAACGGGCTGTACTAGCGCATGCACCCCCACCTGACCTCAGCTGACCTGTGTAAACACAGGGCTGGGGCGGGGGCACGACCCTGTAGCTGTGAGGTCACAGTGCCACAATCGGAGCCGCCAGACTGACATCCCTTTACGTATTACGTGTTTTTTAAAAAAAGTGCCACTGGTCGTGTTATATTACAGGTATTTTAATGTTTTTGTCATGTTAATTGTTTCTGATGAAATTCCAAGTAATCGCAAAGATACACCAAAAATAAGTGTGTGAATCCAAAATTGATTGGAATAATTGTAAAGTTGTGCCGTAACGGGTTGTTTCAGAGGAGAATGCAACATGGTAACCAAGAGACCAGAGAGCTGTCATTCACCGAAACAATCCTGCCTGACTACGCGATGAAGAGCTTGCCGTGGCATCTCCCCAAGCAGGCGCTCCTCCAGAGGTGAGCGTCGCAAGTAAGCATGACTCACTTGTCAATTAAATATTCTGGTTCATCTCTTCCATAGTAAACACTATATAGTAAAAGCCGATGTCATAAATATTTCATAAGGGCGCAAAAACAAACCAGAATTATTCAACCTTCACAGACCCAACAAACATGCAAACACGATAAAAAAGGGGCTTTCTTCAAAATAATGTAACTTTAAGTGAAATTCGCGTAGTGGTTTAAACGGTTACTGCAACAGTAGACTTTCTGCGCTTGGTAATTTGCGCGTTTAAATGCATACATTTTATGTATCAACAAAGAAGCGCCTAGGCGAACGGAGAATCCGCGTCAGAAATTGGGATTTTAAATTGCGGACGTAATTGCCTTGAGTGCCACGGAACACCGGCGCAGCGCTCAGTACAGGGAGGGTCTCCTGACCGCTGAGCCGCATTGCCGAGCCGTACCGCTCAGCTTCATAGCGCTGAAGCATAGTGCGCTCTTTGCTAAGGGTGTGCGCCGCATGACTGGGAAAAGGCGGCATTCATGACAATAAATGGCATTTCATAACTACCGGTAAGTGCTGTTTGTTCTGGGTTAGTTGAGTTGTATAATCGTTGTATTCTTATCAACACATGTTCATGGATGGTGCTGTCGGTATAAAGTCTTTAGCCTTGCTGCCTCTATTGTGAATTCTAGTTTTAAATGTTGTATAGTCTGTTCCACTTGTTTAATTGACTAATTGACTTAAATCACCTAACAGATACCTTCAAATGACGTCTGAATTATTAAGCATGATTATTACGTAAGCGTGTCACTTTTGCATAATGAACAATAACAACTGTCAATTACAAATCCTTACATAGTTATTTTATGCATGATAATTTTTCTAGCAAAACATTTGCATGTTGCTTTTTTGGCCAAAATTGTATATCTCTGTAAACAGGCTCAGTGGAAAAAAAATAAATACTGTAATTAAATACTGAGATTGTATCGACAGAGACAGGAATTATGATTCCGTTCAGTAACCAGTAGATTATTGTTCCTACAATATGGACCATCAAGCCTTACACCAACAAATCCGGTTCCTTCTGCTTAACGGCAATTAGTTTTGCTGGATTCAGATCACGGAAAAAGCAATTTGAAGGGGAGGTGCTTTATTCAGAAAGTTTTAAGTACATTAGGAACAGAGTTTTATCCTTCATATGGAGAAGAACTGCCGTGTGCTTGGCGCGTAATCACATTTTGTATGCAATGCTATATTTTTGGGGTGTTTTAAAATAAGTCTTCGGTTTCTTGAGATCTTTACTGACGTCGTATGACAACAGAAAACGGAGAATCTTTTTTTACGCACAGTTGCTGTTCCACGTTTTCGTGAACGAAAAGCACTAACACGAACACACGAGCGTATTTATTCTCATGTAAGGTAGCTTGATGGCTAAATAATGGGACGAATAATGTGTGTGAACAACACTGACCTTTAAAATATCTCGGGAATTAAACTGTAATTGATACAGTATTAATGATGACTGTATTACATTGTATCATCTCACCTTCTCCCTAAGGTTGCCTCATAAAAATAAGGGTATTTAAATTTAAATAAATATTTATTATAGCTCATTAATTTAACGGTGGCCTCCACTAGAAGGCATCTGCAAGAGATACAAACTCACCACTGACCTCGTAAGACCCTAGAGCAACAGCCACATTAAATTAAGACCGCGTGCCTATCAGGGCTCATTAATCAGGTCTCAGACTGAAGTATCCCCTAGTCCTAGTGGAAACGTCATCTTTTGTGTTCTCCGCAGATGCTAGCGTTACATTTTTAGGATGTACCTTGCATACTCAATAGGAGTACCCAATGCCTCCTTTAAGAATCCAAACTTTGTTTGTTCCTCCAAATTCAATATTGTCATCTTCAGCTATATGATACACAGGTCATTCACTGAAATGAAATATTGTTCTTGGCTGGTGCAAAAGAAAAAGTAATACATGGATTTAATATATCCAAGACATATGAACAAGACAATATTAAGACATAAGACAAAACAAATGCAAACATTTGCTTTTGTAGGGAAAGGTTGTGCAGATTGTCGTTGAATTGAATGAGCTGGAATTGCAGTAAATAAATTAAACAGAGTTTATTTTCCGTGTTATGAGTTCAATATAGAGAGGGGTGTCCTTCAAGCAGACCCAGTCTTGCAAACTGAGCTGTATGTTCCATAGATGCTCACAAGAAATAAACAGGCAGTGACACCAAATCCCCATCCTCGTTCTCCAACAAGCAGCACTATGATCACTAACCTGTGATTCCTTTGCCTGTAGGAATATCTAAGACCCCGGAGAAGGGACAAGTGAGCAGAGGTACAAAGTGCAAGAGTCCCAGCTATGGGCGAGTCCAACGGGAGTCAGCTGTCGACAGCGCACACAGGCACAAATGGCTATCTGCCGGGATTCCTGGCCGATCCCTTCACGGACAGCTACAACATGGACTACGGGGTGCCGGAGGATGAGATCCCCGACACCACACAGGGCTGCGCCTTCTTCGTAGCCACCATCGTCATCGGTGTGGTGCTCGTCTGCATCATGCTGGTCTGCGGCGTGGGCAACTTCCTGTTTATCGCCACCCTGGCGCGGTATAAGAAGCTGAGGAACCTCACCAACCTCTTGATCGCCAACCTGGCTGTGTCAGACTTCCTAGTGGCCGTGGTCTGCTGCCCCTTCCTGGTGGACTACTACGTGGTGAAGCAGCTCTCCTGGGACCATGGGCTCCTGCTTTGCGCCTCCGTCAGCTACCTCCAAACGGTCTCCCTGTATGTGTCCACCAACGCCCTGCTGGCCATTGCAGTGGACAGGTGAGTCATGCTCAACACCTTCCAGCAACATTAAGGATGCTGATGGGTGACTCTCTGCAACTTTTGATTTATACAAAGGAAAGAACAGCTCGCACTTCTCGATCCAAATAAACATATTCGTCTTAATTCCGAGCGCCTGAAACCTCAGTAAAAGAGTGAAGTGCTTATAAAACTGACGGCTAAAGCGAAACACGTGAAAAAATGTAGGTCATTTATGGAAACCACAAGTCATTTGATCTTTAATCATCTGTGGTCTAATTTTCAAATTACTTTAGCTAGGTAGTGCCTCGTGGGTATCTCTAACAACATACAGCTTGTACTTGAGGATAATATTTTTATGATGTGCTTGAAAGCGCACAAACATTTATGGAGGACTCACTTTGTACTGCATTCATGGGAGATAAAGGGTACCTGCCCAGATTCTTCAAAGGTTTTAAAATTCTTGTTTAAATCACATTGTAGTAGGTATTCTTGGACCATATGTGAAAACGTTTTAATTTCAACAGGGCGATTATAACATTTCCTTTATAAATTCTGTGCACCTTTGATGTGAAAAATAAATGTGAATATTTTGGTTCAAATGCAATAAAATTGTATTGAAAACTTAGGAATTAATAACTGCTCACTGCTTAAGTGAGGAAGGACTTACACTCCTGGAGAGACGATGAATTTTCCTGACTTAAAATGCAAAAGTTTCAAAACTATAAAATAACAATAATCGTTAAACTGGTGTCTATAAAATCAATAACTTCTTCCATATGGATTCTATTACGATATTTTACAATATTTTGCTTAATTGCAATATACATGTATATTATCTATTAATAGATAACTGTTTTGACTGGTTGGAATACGAGTGCCAACTGGAAGACGTTTCCAAGTGATTTTAGAATCATTTTGCCAATAACTGTAACCATTGATACACAATAATCAAATATTACTACGGAGTAGAACAATGGAGCAAGTTGACACCTTCTCATCTAACTGTCCAAAATTTCTGTAATAAAAACTCTTTGTATTTTACTGGGTGCTCAGTACGGTTAGATAAAATCTTTTTAATTTTTAATTTTTTTTTCCTGTGCTTCAATGAGTTGGAGAGATCTGGTGAATTTACAATGAACACCTTCTGATCGGATTATTCCCTTTAATGCAAAGAAAAACATGAAGAGATGAGTGAGGAAATGGAATTTAATTGGGTCACTACTGAAATTGCTGTCAACAGGTAAATAGGGAACAAAAACAGCAAGGACCCTAGTTATATATCTCAGATAAGTTATCAGAATCATTCACAAGCTATGTGATTTACTAGCAGTGCTCAAGCAGTGTTAGGTAGTGAACGTGATGCACTTGTTTCAATGCTCAGGTATATGGCCATCGTCCATCCCCTGAGGCCGCGAATGAAGCACCAGACGGCCTATTGCCTGATTGTAGGCGTGTGGATCGTCCCAGTCCTCATCTCCATCCCCTCTGCCTACTTTGCCTCAGAGACCACATACCCGCACGGTTCCTCCCAGACCAGCAAGGTGTTCTGCGCCCAGATCTGGCCTGTGGACAAGCAGCTATATTACCGCTCCTACTTCCTGTTCATCTTTGGCGTGGAGTTCGTAGGCCCCGTGCTGACCATGACGCTCTGCTACTTGCGAATCTCCCAGGAGCTGTGGTTCAAGACCGTGCCGGGCTATCAGACAGAGCAGATCCGGAGGCGGTTGCGGGGGCGCCGGAAGACCGTCGTGGTGCTGATAGGCATCTTGACGGCCTACATCCTCTGCTGGGCCCCGTACTACGGCTTTGCAATCCTGCGTGACTTCTACCCCACGGTCATCTCGCGGGAGAAGAACTCCCTGGTGGCGTTCTACATCATCGAATGCATCGCCATGAGCAACGGCATGATCAACACCCTCTGCTTTGTCAGTGTCAGGAACAACACAGTCAAGCACTTGAGGAGGATCGTGCTGCTTCGATGGAGGTCCACCTACGTGCCCGGCAAGACTGCCGAGGACACGGACCTCCGGACCTCCTCCATGCCAGTGACAGAGATCGACTGCATTCGCCTGAAGTAGGACTGAAGACTTCATTCCAATGTCAGACTGGACACATTCAAATAGACGGATGCAAGTGGAAAGCTCTGTCACCATGGTAGCGACTATGAAACAGAACATAGAAAAGGACAGCGGGCGGAACAAAAAGCGGTCATCTTGTATTTGCAAAGAGGTGGAGCACCTTAACTCCTTAACTGCACACGGTCTCTGTTTGGAGTAGATGGCCCTGCAGCAGGTGTAGTGTTGACGGCGGTGTAAAAACAAAGGAGAGTTAATGCTTCAGTTTATACTTTTCTCTAAAAATTGCAAAGTCTTTTGTGTTTTCTCAGTAGATGTAGTTGTGCTTCATGTGTTTTATCGTTCAATATGTTGACAATATGTTGAGTCTGGAAATAAAACAGCTGCAATGTATTTTGAGTACTGTGCATATTTATTGTTTATGTGGATAGCAGAAACAAGCAGCCATCTCTGTTCATTACAGTCAGTGGGCGTTTCTGTCATAAGAACAACAATACAAGAAAAACAGTTTTATTCTTCATGATTTCTCTAGTGAATTATATACGGAATTTTCTCTGTGAAAATGTACTGTTGGACTAGAAAGAAATTGGTAGGGTAATAATGTTGAATGAGCTGATCTCATTACACACACTGAGGGTGATTCAAATAATTTATAATATTAGTGGTCTGCTGCTAATGGTTAGCTGTCACTTTTGCGTACTTAGGTAATTGTGTTAGCCTTTCTGCGTAACTGGAGTTAGCTTGTGATGTTTGCTCTGTGTGACTTCTTACAATTCATTTTAAATATATTTCCATGTGTTTGTTTCAAGTAATTGAAACTCAAACTTATTTCCCCACCGGTCATTCTGATTGGAGGGAGGTTGTCAGAGAAAGGTATTTAAATTTGTAGCACTTAGCAAGTTAAAATAAGCATGACAGCAGAATTTTGGTACACTACTCTGGTTTGCTCTCCAGCTGGTCTTCATTTAGCATTTGCTGTTGAATGTTCCAGTATTAAAATGATTTCTCATGTAATGTCAGGATCATTGTTTATGTCAGAAATGGACAAATTATAGATAGGATGTATTTACAGTGACTGTAAAAAAGCAAAGCAAAAGCTTTAAAGTAAGTCTTTAGCTTTACATTTCAGAAAATGATGGTGCATAATCATGGTGTCTCGTAATGGACTTAAGAAATGCAAAGTAGTATTTTTAAAAACTTAAGAGTAGCATCAAAATATTGAAATACAAATTGTCATGAAAATCACATGTATCTAACAATGTAACATTAAACATATTTTAGACACATACCTCCAGATGTCCATTGTATGTTGCCCAGTTCTTAAAAAAAATGTTTTGATCATCAAGGAGATGGACATCTTGTAGCGATTTCATATTTTGGATGGAAAATATGGTTTAGAGGAGAAACACAGGCGAGACTCATTACATCTCGAAATGGGAAAAGACTCGTCATGTACTGAATGGTTTCGTCTGTACTGAATGTACACAAGCGCTGTGTGCTCTTACCTTGCATGCAATGTTCCTTGAAACTACCTTCTCTGAATGGTTTACCTGCAATACTCACCCTGGATAGGGGCCATCCTAAGATACCGTGACAGTTGTGCTTTCTAATGTGCACTAATGAGGATCTTTGGGAATCGCAGACCTTGACGTACACCTTGTCCTCAAATTAGCAAAGCGATCTCCCTGACATGCCGAGGTCCATCTTTGCAGGAAGAGCTGTAGTTGCCTTAAGAACTTCAACAGATGTGTCAGGATCTGAATTCCAGTGCGTCATTAATTAGTACTATGCCAGCACATTCGGATTTCTACTGTGGGATTACTGCAGTGGTCTCACAAAGTGTAATTTTCACCACCAAGATGACTGAATCTGATGTAACTCATTAGAATTTGGGCTTGGTTAGTCCAATCTAAGATTAAACTGTCATTTTACTGTCATTTCGACCTTTAAACTTGAGTTCTGACATCTGACAATAATGACGCCTTTTATTCTTTCCTAATAACTGTCCAGCTCAGGTCAGTGATGATCAAAGCCACACTGCAGAAACCCAATGTAGGATTGAAGGTCAGCAATGATATGTACTGTAAACCAGTGTTTCCCAACCCAGTCCACGGGAAACCCCAGACAGTCCACATTTTTGCTGCCTGAACCGGACCATCAAACAAACAAGAACACAGAATACTGGGTACAGGTGTGTTGGGAGGGAGCAAAAATGTGGACTGTCTGGGGTTCCCCGAGGACTGGGTTGGGAAACACTGCTGTAAACTATGGCTTTTGGATGGTGTGCATGTGTGAAAGGATTTATTCTGCTTGCCAGAAACCATCAGGCACGCTTTGCCATACTGTTGTTTTTGTATTTTGATTGATGACAAACATTTCGATTTTTGAAAAGTTTTGTGAAGCAAAAAGATTTGCTATAATAATTTTAATGTGGGTTAGGGTCCTAAGAAGGAGATGAATTTGTTCGTCACCTCACAGCTCATGTCATTACAGACGCTCCTCTACTTACGAACTGTCAATTTACGAACTTTCAGATATACGAACGAAGAGCACTGTAAGTACAAATTGTGTTCATTGGGCTCTCGTTTCCTGTCCGCAACATCATTTTTTTTTTCTGCGCACCAATTCTGGGTAGTACGACTTTTGGCCGCTACTCCCGCCGCGCAACGTAGCGTACGTACTCCCAGCATCCTAGTTCTTTGTACTCGCGTATATCCTTAAAATGATGTCGAATAACGACTTACGAACATTTCAAGTTAGGAACGGCCGTTCAGAACGTATCTCATTCGTAAGTAGAGGAGCGTCTGTATTTTCTGTAAATAAAAACTTAAATTCATCATAGCATTCTGATACAGCAGTGAAATAGTAGCAAAAGGAAAATACACAATAACGCTTGCGTTTAAAAAATACAGAAATATTGATTAGTAATCTGCAGACCTGCCCGTGGTGTTCTGCCAGGTTGCTGGAGGACTGGGTAAATTCTACTGGAGAATTGGCACTTTTGGGGGCTGATATGCTGGAACTTCTCAAATTTCCAAATATTTCCTATTTCTGACTTCAGGCCATCTATCCCTCGGCAGCGAATGTCACGCTTCGCTCCTTTTAATTTATTCCAGTGGAATAGATGACGTGTTGCCAGATTACTGGATATTTATGTGCCTTGGTTACAGTTGCTGAAACTGTCAAATTAATCTTGGTAGTGCCTAGTCTGGCTGTACATTAACCATGCGGATGTTTCCGCATGTGGCTTTTCCCTCTATGCACACAATGTGCAGACATGGTATGCAACAGTGTATCCAAAACAGATTACGCTCAACACAGTACACAGCTTTATACATCAAAAAACATCCAACCATTCATATTGCACTTGCTTATCCTAGAAAGGGTCATGGGGTATCAAGTAAACATATAGAATATGCAATACATGCAATACAGTAACCATTTCACATTCACAAGCTTGACATTCGCAGTTTTGGTTATATGAAAGTTGGCCATGCACAATTAAACATGAATATTTTTGGAGCTTGCTGAAATAACGCAGAAACTGGCCAAAAACAATACTGAAAATGATTCGGGTCACATAAAATCATATATACTGTATGTTTTAGTGATATGTACTATTTGTTAGTGTAGTGCATATTATTTATTAATATATAAAGTCTTGGCTTGGGTATGCTGCACATCCTTGTCTCAGTAACCGGCCTCACTCACTTCTTAGCTGTAATTGTGACTGTGGAGGTTCACAATTTCTCGCCGTAACCTTTAAACTTTTCAGCGCTGCTAGTTTTGCATTTTTAATACTGGGTCTGAAAGGTAGCCTTCCAGTGCGTATAATACTTTAGTTACTTTGCACATTCAGGGACATAATTTAGATGGTTTCTATCCCATATTAAAAGGTATAGTAAGGAAATCACAAAGCAATTTGACGGTAGCAGACTGTTATCAGTTAAGGTTAGGGATGCAGAAATATTACTTGCAAATTTTCACATTCTCGAGGATCTTGCACCCCTGACCCTCACAAGTGTGAAGGGGTTACTGTGTGTTAAAATATATCCTATGTCATTTCTTTTGCTTATTTGTATTATTATATTTGTATTAATATAAGATTGTCTGGTTTAAGTATTTCTAACATACTTTTATCAGCTTGTGATGGTGGTCTGGGAGTTTAACTTGACTTAAGCAGATGTAATTTCATGGCCTAATTTTTGTGATTTTTGCATATTTGCATCTATGACGCAAACCAGCAGCAGCAATGGGCCTATTGAACCGCAATAAATTAACACTGTTATATAAACAGTGAAAAGATATAATGTAACCCTGTAATATTTCAATGTAACTGCTCCTGTCAAAAAATAACATATAATACACAAAATATTCAATGGAATATATATGCTCTAATTTTGCTGAGAATGTGAAAGAAGCTGATAAATGATCATGAAAGACTTTTTTGTGATATATGTCATATCTAAACAGTTTCTTAGCAACTCATTACATTTTTCCACAATCCGTTCAATGGCTTATTTTATTTCCCACATATTTTTTCCAGTGGTGGCACCAATTATAAGCTATGCTCCCATTCCGACAGTCCTAGAATAAAGATGGAACCATTTCAGTTTTAAAAGTAGTTAAAAGTATAATCTAATTTTGTTCCCAAAGATGGGAACTCTGAGGCTTTTATAGAGTTTTGTCAGCAGCTGGTGTCTCTTTACAATGAAGCTAAGTTGCTCTTTAGTTTTATTAATGAGCACACTTGGCTATTTAATGGTCATTCTCAACTTTATGTTGTGGTTAATGTGAGGCCTACATGTGTTTTTCCTTTCTGGGGGCATTTAAGGAAAATAACAGGTTTTAACTCTATTTCCTCAGGTTATGTCTTGTATTTCCGTTGAGGTATTATCCTTTTCAGATTTTAGTAGTACTTGTTAGGCTGTTTTATGCAACACTTACTTTCGATCTATTTCCAAAAGGCCCCTTTCCTGCTACGATTTCAGAGATGCATTACGACTGACGACTCCCCCCTTCACTTACCTGCCTGTTCAATGTGGTATAGAGTAATCTGGGGAGGGGTGTACTTCAAAACTGATGGCTGAGATTAGTAGCAATTAGTCATGGAAAATTAAAATGGAGTGTGGCTGATGAGGGAAGCAATATTCATTAGTTTGGTGTTTTAGTGTTGCACTGAGTTACACGACGGTGATATCCTGAAATTCTGCAGTTCTTTTCAACAATAAAACAATACAGGTGGCAAATCCCTTCATCTAGAGAGAAAATGGCTTTGTGGGAGTAAATCTGTGGCACATGCAGTGTGGTAGGCTGGTTCAGAGTTTGGGCCTTGCAGATCTTCAGGCTTGCGGTGCTT